GGTTATTATATGGCTATAGGGGTTATGAAACCTACTTAGGTCCTCATGACCCTCCACGTAAGGGTTTACTTCGAGAATCTCTTGACATAGTTTAGGGTTTACTGCGCAGTTTTAGGGTTAAGGGACTTAGGGCTTAGGCTTTTAGGGTTAATGGATGTAGGGCCAAGGGATTTAGGGCTTAGGGGTTTAGGGTATAGGGATTTAGGGTTTAGCGGTTCAGGGTTAGGGTTGGCGGGTTTAAGGTTCATGGGACCACGTCTAATTTGGGTTCTGACCATACTTTAACCGGGGTATCCTCTATAAGACCAGGTAGGGGGCTTATACATAGGGTTAAAAGCCCACGTGAACCTCCTAAACCCTAAACCGCCTAAAGCCCACATGAACCTCTAAGAAAAGGTTTAAGTCTTAAGGCTTGCGGTGGTTGAGAGTTTGGGTTTGGATATCAATTTAGGCTTTAGGGTATAAGGTTCAGGTTTAGGGTTTAAGGTTCAGGGTTTGGGGTTTAGGGTGGTTTAGAGTAGAGAGTTCGGGGTTTCAGAGTTTGAGGGTAGCACGTTCGCTGTTAGAGGCGGATGGGCATAAGGATGTTAGGACTCAGTACTGGGGATGATGGCGCATTATTTTCCATCTTGAGGCACAGCTGGACCTGACTCAAAGTACATCCCTTTCCCAAGCCTCCCAAACTTAAGCCCTACAAGCTCTACCACCACCCCCACACTCTGAAACCTAAAGCCCCGCAACGCTGGGCGAAATTCTGCAACCCTGAGACTCTAAATCACGAAGCGCTGAAACCCTAGATTCCCCACCCCCACGTTTCTAGAGAGCCCAATACACCTTGACAAAAGAATATAGGTTTTGGTCTAGGATTAAGGGTTTAGGGTTTAGGGCTCTCCCAACCTGATAAACATAGTTTTGGTCAGGTCCTCAATGAAGGAGGCTCCCTCTGAAGCTCTATACGGCAAATGACCCTACATAAACGAAAAATCAGCAACCATTCCAAGCAAGAACCCCAAAATCCGGAACCCCTAAAACCCAAACCCTAAATCATTAAACCCTAAATCCGCAATTCATGGGCTCCCGTTCTATCCCCTCCCTCGGTTCCCTGTGTTAATGTCATTGTAAATTGATTGGACAAACCTTTGGAGGGTAGGATTGAGGGCCTACGCCCCGAACCCCAAACCCTGAACCCCAAACTCCAATACCCTAAAAATCAAACCCCAAACCCCATACCCTCAACCCCTAAACCCTAAACCCCAAACTCCATAATTACCCAAAACCCTAAACCATGAACCCTAATCCCTAAACTCCAAACCCTAAATCCCAAATCCTAAACCCCGAACCCTGAACCCCAAACCCTGAACCCCGAACCCTGAACCCTAAACCCTGAACCCTACCCCTAAACCCCAAACCGCATAGCCTAAACTCCAAGCCCCAAGTCCCATACCCTAACCTAAACCCCAAACCCCATACCCTGGCCCCTAAACCCCAAACCCAATAAACCCCTACCTGGACCTCAAAAGTAGGTAGAATAATGGCCCAAAACCCAGAAATATGGCCTCAAAGGCCATTATGCTACATACTTTTAGGGTTCAGGCAAACCCTAAACCCCTAAACCCCCAAATCCCTAAACCCCAAACCCAATAAACTCCTCAACCCTAAGTAGCTGAACTTGAGTGGATAATATCCCTTATATAAAATACTATACCCCAAAAGGAGAATATAATCTTACTCTGTATTGGGTACCATAGTATCCCCAAATAAATACCAGATCCCCAATACAACCCCAGTTTCCATTTCATTTTCCATTTTTCTTTTCCATTTGATTCTCCATAAACCCTAAACCCTAAACCCTTTTAAATACTACTCACTTGGTGCTGCACTTCGGAGTTCCTGCTCGGCTTCGGGCCGCTCCTCGAGGTTACGATTTGGAGTGGATAGAAATTGTTTTGGGTCTAAGGGTTTAGGATTTAGAGTTTGGGATTTAGAGTTTGGGATTTAAGGTTTAGGATTAAGGGTGTAGGGTTTAGAGTTTAGGGTTTAGGATTTAGGGTTTAGGGTTTGGAGATTAGGGTGTAGGATTTTCGGTTTAGGGATTAGGATTTAGGGTCTAGGGTTCCGGGTTTAGGATTTAGGGCCTAGGGTCTCAGGCTTGATATTCAGGCTTCAGGGTTTAGGGTCTGGTGTTTCGGGTTTAGGATTTAGGGCTTAGGGCGTGGGATTCAGGGTTCTCAGGGTTTAGGGTCTGGGGTTTAAGGTTTAGGGCTCATATCCTGAGCAATACGCGGAGTTTTTGTCGCGGTTTCGTATTTCGGTTTTGAGCCCTGGCCAACTTTAGTTTATTCGCGGCTTGAGGGCTTAGCTTTCAGGTTTTAGGTTTAAGGGTCCAGATTTTGGAGTTCACGTTGTTTTAGGGTCAGAGAGTTGAGTTAGGCTTAGGGTACGTAGGTAGGAAGTCTTGCACGTGAAGCTTCAATCTGCAAACCCCAAATCCAAAACACGACGCCCCAAACGTCAAATCCTACGCTTTAAGAAATGAAATCCCAAATTCGCACGCAGATATATGCGGTTGTTACGCCGAGGGTCTCCTCGTATGGTGGTACAAATGGCCCTGAACCCTGAACCCTGAACCCTAAACCCTAAACCTTAAACCGCGTTGGGAACCTGCATCTCCAAAGCTCCAACCTTCCTTCCTGTCCGCTGCCCTCCTCTGTTCAACAACTTATGCAGATGAAGGGCATGTGAGCTATAGTCTAAACTCCTAGCATCCCCCTTAATAACCCCTATAATACTCCCCTATATAATCCCCGATCTACCTCCCTTACAAGGAGTTTAGACTCTAGCGCATAATGCACCAAGCCTTCCCCTCCGTTCCCGGCCCCAACCGCTTCATCTCGCCTTTCTCTGCCTGCTTCTTTTAAGTCACGGGTTTCGGGTTTAGGGTCCTATCTTCCCTCTAAGGGACGTTGGTGCCACGACCCTCTCTTTCATCCCGGGCGGTGGGACTTCTTCCTCTTCCACTGCCTGCCAACCCACCATCACTCCTTTCTCTGCTGGAGGCTTTCCCCCTCACCCGCCTTTCTCTACCTGGAGGCTCTCTGGATGTAGTAAGTCTACTTGATAATGAGGGTTATCGGACTTGCGATATAAGTAAAGATACACAATAGGTTACAATCACCTTGCACCTCCAACTCTGCACTGACACCAACATCTTCCCGGATCTACTGGGTTCCCAGAGTGGCAGCGTGACGCTGACAACTGTCAAGACTAGAGTCGCAGACATGTACATGAAACAAAACGTGAAACCTTGCCGTCGCATTTGACAACGACACCGTCATGTGCGAACATGCAAGCATGGAAGAGAATCACAGCACCCTTGCTAGCCCTGGCCGTCTGCCAAGAGATGGCAACGGGAAAAGTAATCTCAACAATTCTGGGGTTGTTGATGATATGCCAACTATGAACATTCTAATCCAAACACCATGAAGGTTCCCCAGGGCAGAATGCTACAGTTTGGAGCATACTTAGTTTTTCCGGCATCCTATACATGTAAGGTAGGATCCTGATATGCGTGCTGTTTGCTGGTTGGCCCCTGTAACCCTCTGGCCTTCTATACCCTGATGCCTAGCCTTAAACCATGAGCCATAAGCCCTACATGCCTCAGCCCTGATTTTGAAAAGCCTGAACCATACATCCCTGAACCCTAATGCCTAAGCCCTGAACCCTTAATCCCCCAACCCAGATCCTGAGCCCTGAACGCTGAATCCCTGAACCCCCTCAAATCCTCAACCTTAACTTCCCGAGCCTTCAATCCTACAAGCTACTTTGAGGGACCCTTGAGTTGGGTTAGTATACTATGTTCCTTTCATAATCCCCTATTGTGACCCTTGGTCAGGTGGTACCCTAACTCATAGGAACCCCAGGTCCTACAAACCGGGAGCACGCGCGGTCCTTGCCGACCTCAATGCCTTCATGGAGCTTTTGCCTCATAGGGAGGGTTTAGGATTTACGGATCAGAACTTGTAGCCCTAAGCCTTAAACCCGAAGGGTTTGGGGTTTTAGCTTCAGGGTCTACAAAAATGAGGGGCATTGGTGGTCCTAGGGTTCGCCAGTGGTCTTGCAGCAAATCGTCTTGGAGGAAATCTTGTGCGCCCTAAGGTATTACATAGGGTTAGACCGTACGTTATCCCCAGGTGTCTTTCCAAACTTTGGTTTGAAAAACACAAGAAAACATGTGGGAACCCGAAAAAAACATATATCCTCTCCAAAGGAGCAAACCCTCAAAACCCACACAAAAAAGAAATGGGACTGCTACGTGTTTGGTTAAAATCTGTTTTGTGGTGCATTTTGAAGCTATCTTAGCTATTTTCCGTTTCATTTCGGAGTGTCTGAGCTTTGCTTTGAGTTCATAAGGGTTAGGGTTGAGGGTTTAGGGCTCATTTCGATCTTAGTTTTTCGGGCTATTCCTTGAACTCTTTTTGGGTCATGTTGGATTTTGTTTTTATAGTTTGTTACTGGCTTGTTTTTGCCGTTTTCCCTTGGGAATCAAGGTTTGCGATGATTAGCACGGACAGAAACCCTAAACCCTAAAC